TGAGCCTTTGCTTTCATGTTTTCGTCCTTAAATCTGTGATTCATAAATAAGGTGGTCTTTGTACTAGCACAAATAATCTTTTTTTTTTCTATGTATAAAAGATATCATACGTTTCAATCTTCTCACCCAGGGGTCATGACTCATGAGTTTGTACTAACAGAAATTACAGGGCATAACTATGGTGTCAGTGCCAGATGATGTATCATTTCAATTCATAAGGGGGATTACAGGGCATTCGGAGTTTTTTACAGAGTAAGATTCGGGCATGTTCAATTTATGCTAACTACAGTAATATGTCTGGCCGGCCAACAAAAAATGTGTAGTGTTTCGAAATGATATGATATTACTATGTCAATGTGGACAGCAACCATATTCTCAGGACGTGGTAACAACAAACAAAACAAACCCAACCCCTACATTTCCTGCTGTACCAAATATAAGGGGCCAAGTTATACTAAATACTGACAACATATATTTGGCAGGGAGTCACTAAAGGTGGACATGATGTTGCTGTGAAGAAGTTGAAGCCTTGTCTTGCCGACCTAGGCAACAAGCAGTTTCGAAATGAGTTTGATACCCTCACGAAGCTTAACCATCAAAACATTGTAAAGGTTCTTGGCTATTGTTATGAAACAAAGAAAAACCTTTTATCATGTTAGATGGAAGTAAGGTTTTGTTGATGAGATACATGCGGCGCTCTGCTTTGAATACTTGCACAATGGGAGTCTACAAAACCATCTTTCTGTTACAGCTGCTCCATTATTTTCAGTATGCCTACAAAGAATATTGTCTTCTATATTGCATTTGATTTTTTTTTGTTTACTACTATAGATGAGTGTTGTGAACTTAAGCTTCACTGGCACATGCGTTCAAAATAATCAAGGGATTTGTGAGGTCTAAAGTATATGCATAAGGATCAAGAAGAACCTATTTACCATTTTGACCTAAAACCTGACAACATATTGCTAGATAAGCACATGGTTCCAAAGATTGCAGATTTTGGTCTGTCCAAGATCTTTGGTCAAGACATATACACGGACAACCCACAATCCTTATGGAACACTGTAAGTTGAATTCCTCTCTGAACGCATCCCTTTTATAACCCAACAAACTATGTGCATTACAAATTCATTGCATGCGACACAATGCGTTGGTTACCAGACCACTAGAATACATCCACGGAGGTGAAATCTCAGAAAGTTTGACATATTCAGCTTGGGTGCTGTAATGATAAGGATAGTGTCAGGGCCTTTGGGCTACCCTGAATGTTCGGACATGTCTTCAAATGAGTTCATTGATCAAGTGAGAAATGATACGTCTTAAAATCAGGACCATTTTTTTTATCTAAATCTACGTCATATTTACATTGAAATAATATCTACCTACTTGACAATTTGATTTATCGGGTCCGAGAGATCTGGAGGAACATGTTACAGGAAAGTTGCAGTAGTAGTGATTCCCTGCTTGAAGCATACTGCCGCCAAATTGAGGCATGCACTCAGATAGCATTGAAATGTTTGGACAAAGAAAGTCAGAAAAGGCCTAACATAGTGAAGATCACCGAGAAGCTTAATGAGATTGAAATTGGTGTTGACAAGGTAATTAATATCATTTGTAAAGGCATATATACTGGGTATCTATGTCAGGGACATAGTCTTACTATATGTCCAATGATGTAATCAGTTCACTTTGTTTTGTTCTCCTAGCATATTAGTAATTTCTTTCAAAAAGTGTTGATCACTACATGATTCAAGAGCCTAATAAAGTTTCTTGAGCCTCTAGAACCGATATTCATTGTTTGAACCATATTGATAGATAAGGAGAAAGCTCAACTGTATGTGTAGGTTATCTTTTCTCTACAACTGTAAGCTACAAATTTTTAGATGCTAAATTATTTGTTGAAGAAAGAACTATACTAACAAAAAACGATTTATTGTGTAAATTTGAAATATCAACAACGCATTAAAGATGAAGCTCTTCTACATGTTGGGAGAAAAAACAATCCACTGCACTATTTCTTTTACGAAGTGGTTTCTGTTAGGCAAAATAGCCGAATCCGTCCCTGAACTATCGTGCTGGGCTCAATTTCGTCCCTCAACTATAAAAACGTCCGATTCAGGTCCACTGAACTATAAATCTTGGGCTCAATTTAGTCCCTCAACTATAAAAACGTCGATTCAGTCCACGAACTATAAATCTGGGCTCAATTTAAATCCCTCAACTATAAAAGCGTCCGATTAGGTCCACGAACTATGTATGTTGGGCTCAATTTCAAATTTAACACAGTTGCTTTTTTATTTTTAAATCTAACCTAGTTAATATACTGCTAAAACTTGGTTTGATTTTTTTCTAAACATCTTAAAGACATTAAAATTAAAAAAAATCAAAACTAGATGTTTTAGATCTCGCCGAGAACTACAATTTTCATATATAAAATTATATCCATTTGACCCATATATAAGGAATCGATTTTTCCAATCGATAAAAATCGATTAGTATCTTATTAAAACATTATTTCAAATTTTAGATACTTTGACCTAAATTAAAAAACTCAAAACTATAAAGTTGAGATCTATAACGCTATAATTTTCATTTAAAATCATTTGAGGTCTTATAAGATGCTTTTTAAAAATCAAACCAAGTTTTATGCAAGATATTAACCAAAGTTAGATTTAAAAATAAAAAAAAAATCGTGTTAAATTTGAAATTGAGCCCAGCCTGTGGATTGAATCGGACGCTTTTTATAGTTGAGGGATCTAAATTGAGCCCAAAACGATAGTTCGTGTGGCCTAATCGACGCTTTTATAGTTGAGGGACAAAATTGAGCCCAAAGACGATAGTTTAGGGATTGAATCGACGCTTTTATAGTTGAGGGATTGAAATTGAGCCCAAAGACGATAGTTCGTGTGACTAATTCACTATTTTGCCTTTCTGTTATATGGAAATTGGTTTATCACTTACTTTGTGTGCAGCATGTAAAAGCTAAACTTTCCATACTAGTTTAACACTGCTTCTTTGTACTCTAAGATTTGATTCCTGTTCCTCTAACTTCAAACTAATTGAAATTTTGCGACTTGCCGAGAAAGGATGCAGCATAAGTTTTTCTACGAAATGACAGAAGAAGAATAACGGTATAGAGATGAGAAAGGACTCAAAGGATATCACAGTTCAGCACCAGAATACTGATCTATTGTGAAGCCCAAGTTGCACTAAGCTAGAACTTATTGATGCACGAAAACATCAACAGATGTAGTAGAAGAACTCATAGTGGGAGGGGAACAAGAAAAAGGGAAAATAATAACTTCTTTACTTGAGAGCTCATCAAAAAAGATTTCCATCCTTCCCATACATGGTATTGGAGGCATTGGCAAGACAACTTTTGCAAGATTGATTCATAATGATCCAAAGTTCAAATGTTACTCTAAAGCATGGGTCCATGTGTCACAAAGATTTGACTTGAATAAAATTCATGAGTCTATTATTTCACAACTATCTGAAAAAGAGAATCAGGCTAATGAAAGACATGTGGTACATAGTTCCCTCACAAAGCTACTTCCTAGTAAGAAGATTATAATTGTTTTAGATGACCTTTGGGAGGATAATCAGTTCCAGTTGATTGACTTGAAGGATATGCTATATCATGATGATAGCAATATAATTATTTTAGTAACAACACGAAGTGAGAGTGTTGCAGAGAGAATATGTACAAACCTTCAACCATACAAGATATTACCCTTGACGAACAATATGTGCTGGGATATAATTAAACAAAGAAGTTGTTTTGATGCTAGAGATGACAAAGAAAAGTTGAGAGGTATAGGACAGGATATTGCTCAGAAGTGTGCTGGTGTGGCTTTAGCAGCTCAATCTCTAGGATTCACTTTGCGGGGCACGAATTTTGACAAATGGATGAAAGTGAAAGAGTGATATATCTTTGATGTTAAGTTATAGCTATATATATGGATCTATCTTTGAAGCAATGCTTTACCTATTGTGCAACCTTCCCAAAAGGTACTCGGCGCTTGCACGCACAAATAAAATAGTACAAAGAGGCGAGGAAACACGGTGCCATATACATTATGATACTCGATCATATTCATGTGGGTCAGACAAGGAGACCACTGGTCCACTACACTAGGGCGCGTCGCACGCGGTAGACCACATGGTGGAGCGTGACATGTGCTCTCCCTCGTACATACAACAAATACTTTTATTCTGGATAGATGCATGTTACCATGCCAATTGGGGCTAGCCGGTCTCTAGTTCACCTCTCGACCCCCTTCCGGAGCACACAGGCATACCCATACAGGAGCAAGGAGCAAGGAGAGCAAGCAAGCGGCGCGCGTCGTCTCCACTCTCCGGCCGGAGGACCCGATCCTTCTTCCAGCCATACGATACGTATGTAATATGTGCTTCCCTTAACAGCAGCTTATAGTTATATCCACGTCACATAAAGCTTGTGTCTACTCCTCTCCTCGCACAATCGTTTGTTAACCGAGGCCAACATGGATCAATATCATTTCATCGTGGTCCATTTTTCAAATTAGATTTTGTACGTTCGACCGCACAAGCTAGCTAGGAAGCCTTCTCAAAGCTTGCAGTGTTTCTCGTACCTCTTGGACTATATATTCCTGTCCGATTTATTGGTATTTTTACTAAATAATCCCGCGAGGGAATTTATGCATTACTGGCCTCTCTTTAATTTATGCATTAATAGCTAGTAGTTGCCCAGTTCACATCTCTCTCTCTTCTAATCTAGAGACTTTGCTACTGCGCTCGATCTGTCTACATACAGTCCCATCTAGCATCCCCTGGATCGGACGCATCAGTTCATCGCGATATATCATTGTTGGTGAGCCTTTGCTTTCATGTTTTCGTCCTTAAATCTGTGATTCATAAGTAAGGTGGTCTTTGTACTAGCACAAATAATACGTTTCAATCTTCTCACCCAGGGGTCATGACTCATGACTTTGTACTAACAGAAATTACAGGGCATAACTATGGTGTCGGTGCCAGAGGATCTACCATTTCAATTCATAAGGGAAATTACTGATGACTTCTCAGAGGAGCGCATACTTGGCCAAGGAGCATTCGGAGTTGTTTACAGAGTAAGATTCGGGCATGCTCAATTTATGCTAACTACAGTAATGTCTGGCCAACAAAAAATGTGTAGTGTTTCGAAATGATATGGTATAACTATGTCAATGTGGACAGCAACCATATTCTCAGGACGTGGTAACAACAAACAAAACAAACCCAACCCCTATATTTCCTGCTGTAGTGCTGTACCAAATATAAGGGCCAAGTTATACTAAATACTGACAACATATATTTGGCAGGAGTCACTAAAGATGGACATGATGTTGCTGTGAAGAAGTTGAAGCCTTGTCTTGCCGACCTAGGCAACAAGCAGTTTCGAAATGAGTTTGATACCCTCACGGAGCTGAACCATCAAAACATTGTAAAGGTTCTTGGCTATTGTTATGAAACAAAGAAAAACCTTTTATCATGTTAGATGGAAGTAAGGTTTTTGTTGATGAGATACATGCGGCGCTCTGCTTTGAATACTTGCACAATGGGAGTCTACAAAACCATCTTTCTGGTACAGCTGCTCGATTTTCAGTATGCCTACAAAGAATATTGTCTTCTATATTGGATTTGATTATTTTTTTGTTTACTACTATAGATGAGTGTTGTGAACTTAAGCTTGACTGGCACATGCGGTTCAAAATAATCAAGGGGATTTGTGAGGGTCTAAAGTATATGCACAAGGATCAAGAAGAACCTATTTACCATTTTGACCTAAAACCGGACAACATATTGCTAGATAAGCACATGGTTCCAAAGATTGCAGATTTTGGTCTGTCCAGGATCTTTGGTCAAGACATAATACGGACCACCGACAATCCTTATGGAACGCTGTAAGTCGAATACCTCTACTAAACTTATCCCTTTTTATAACCCAACAAACTATATGCATTACAAATTCATTGCATGTGACACAATGCAGTGGTTACCAGCCACCAGAATACATCGACAGAGGTGAAATTTCCGGAAAGTTTGACATATTCAGCTTGGGTGCTGTAATGATAAGGATACTGTCAGGGCCCATGAGCTACCCTGAAAGTTCCGACATGTCTTCATATGAGTATATTGGTCAAGTAAGAAATGATACATCTTAATTTCAGGACCATTTTTAATATAATTATACATCACATTTACATTGAAATAGTATCTACCTTTTTGACAATTCGATTTATCAGGTCCGAGAGATCTGGAGGAACAAGATGCAGGAAACTTACAGTAGTAGTGATTCCCTGCTTGAAGCATACTGCCGCCAAGTTGAGACATGCACTCAAATAGCATTGAACTGTTTGAATAAAGATAGTCAGAAAAGGCCTGACATAGTGGAGATAACTGAGAAGCTTAAGGAGATTGAAATTGGTGATGACAAGGTAATTAATATCATTTGTAAGGCCATATACTGGGTATCTATGTCAAGACATAGTTTTACTATATGTGCAATGATGTAATCAGTTCACTTATGTTCTACTAGCATATTAGGAATTTCTTCTTAAAAAGTGTTTATCACTCCATGATTCAAGAGTCTAATACAGTTTCTCGAGCCCCTAACACTGATATTCATTTTCTGAACCATATTGATAGGTAGGAGAATGCTCAACTGTATGTTACAAATTCTCGCCAAGCAGCACTCTCAACTGTATGTGGCATTAGTGTTTCTCCAATGACAGTGCAGAATAATGGTATAGAGACGAGAGATAATATCACAGTTCAACACCAGAATGCAGCTAGCCCTCAGCTAGAACTTACTGATGCACGAGAAACATCAACAGTTGTAGAAGAAGAACTCATAGTGGGGAGGCGAGAAGAAAAGGAAAATAATAACTTCTTTACTTGAGAGTTCATCGAAAAGATTTCCATCCTTCCCATATATGGTATTGGAGGCATTGGCAAGACAACTTTTGAAAGATTGATTTATAATGATCCAAAGTTCGAATGCTATTCTAAAGCATGGGTCCATGTGTCACATAGATTTGACTTGAATAAAATTTGTGTGTCTATTATTTCACAGCTATCTGGAAAAGACAATCAGGCTAATGAAATACAGGTGGTACATAGTTCCCTCACAGAGCTACTTCCTGGTAAGAATATTATGATTGTTTTAGATGACCTTTGGGAGGATAATCAGTTCCAGTTGAAGGACTTGCAGGACATGCTATATCATGATGATAGCAAAATAATTATTTCAGTAACAACACGAAGTGAGAGCGTTGCGGAGAGAATATGTGCAAACCTTCAACCATACAAGATATTACCCTTGACGAATGATATGTGCTGGGATATAATAAAACAAAGAAGTGGTTTTCGAGCTAGAGGTGACAAAGAAAAGTTGACAGGTATAGGACAGGAGATTGCTCAGAAGTGTGCTGGTGTGGCTTTAGCAGCTCAATCTCTAGGATTCACTTTGCGGGGCATGGACCATTTTGACCAATGGATGAATGTGAGAGATAATGATATCTGGAATGAACATGTTTCAAAGGATATATCTTTGCCGAATCATGTTCTGGCATCTTTGTTGTTAAGTTATAGCTATATGGATCCATGTTTGCAGCAGTGCTTTACCTATTGTGCTGTCTTCCCAAAAGGTCACCACATAGTTAAAAATGATCTAATTTACCAATGGATTTCTTTAGGTTTCATAGAGCCAACAGAATTACTCTCAGTTATGGAACTCAGCAAGAAGTATATTATGCAGCTCCGAGGACTATCTTTCTTTCAAGAGTCACCCAAGGTGTGTTATTTCTACATACCAATACTACATTTGTAATGTTTGGTCTTCTCCTTCAATCAATTTAAAAGTGACTGACAATTACGAAGCACAATAATAATATATATGGTACATTAGACCAGAACAAGCACATAATGCCAGAACTTACCACAAGAGCCAATGTTTTAGCCATCCAAATGACAATAAAATATATAATTTCATATGGTTCTTCACATAAATTTATACATATTCAGGTACATCCTATATTTACATAGTAGGTTGATAGTAAGTATAAAATACACTGGAGCACACTAAATGTGGAACACAATGGTCTTTTGAAAATAAAAAGAATATAATCGGTATTTTGGGCCAATTGTTTCATACTTGCAGACATGATTAATTTGAAAAAAAATGATACAGGTATATAGCCATTGTACATCATATTACTATAATCTTTTAACACAAGCTATATTCAGCTAATATACAAATGGTCAACCGTCCTTGAAGGTTGTGTTGTGTTTCCAAATATTTCTACCATTCTACATAGTATCACAAATCCTATGGATGTAATCCCTTCACCTTCCGTGCTCTATCTCCTTCCCAAAACCCTAATGTGCGGCGCATCCCATAGATGCGTCTACCCACTAGCACCAAGAATCCTCATCGGTGCATCCACACCGAGGCGTGCTCACATTGATCATTGTGCCTTGTCCTACCTAGCGTATTCATTACATGCCACAACCTTCCATGTGTAGCGTGCTCTAACGTGCCACCATTCCTCCCGCACTCTGATATACTTCCTCCGTAGTGTGTGCACCCCTCTCAAAGGCACATCTTACCTCATCACACATGCTTAGTTGATTCCATCTATGACATCTACATCCCCTGCTACATCAGCGGACACGCTAATAAACTCATTGCCATCAGCTAGTGCACACACTGTGACATCTTCATCAACCCATATGCCATGGTCATAGTGAAGCCTCATATGCCTTGTGATGCTGAGTTAAACAATGGCAACATTCTTTCGCTCCATATGTGGCAAATTCAACCTACAACCACACATCTATGTCCTCGTCCCCGGTCACCTATGATGTTGCATGGGAATAGGCTAACTATTGTTTGGAGACCTCTTTGACTACAAATCCAATAGATGCAATCTTCTTCACCTTCTACAACCCTTTATCCTTCCCAAAGCCTTAATGAGCCACACAAGACATAGACACATCCACCCACTAGCATCATGAATCCTGTTAAGTGCGTCGACATTAGGGTGTTACCACATCGATCTCTCGTGCCATGCCTTCTCTTCCTAGCGTATTCTTGACATGCCACATCCTTCCATGTGCAATGTACTTCTATAGCACCACTATTCCCTATGCAACACTAGTGTACTTCCTATGGTTGCATGCACAACATCTCTCAAAGACATGTCTTTCCTCATGACACGCTCTTGGTTGATTCCATCTAGGTCCTATCTAGCATGGCGTCTACATCCCCTTCTATATTTGTAGCCACGCTAACGAACTCATTGTCATTAGCCAATGAAGGCAGTGTCCATGACATCACTAGTCTTCATCAACCTATATGCCATGGTCATAGTGAAGGTAAAGCTGCATGTTACCAGACACACTAGAACTAAAGAATCACAATTCCAACATATGAGCATCTTTTTTGGGCTCCATGTGTGCAAAATTTGTCCTACATGTATGGCTCCACACGGGTCACCCTACCATGGTTCCATGGTAACATGCTATGTATTAGTTGGAGTGGATCCAGCAACATTCTAGATCTCAAGATGCACATACCATTCCATAAAAATATCTTTTGAGTGAATAAAGAGCCACACCCCATGCATCTTCCTAAGTCACATGTTCCACTCAACAACTTGAGGACCCTCTCCATCTTGGATTACTACTAACACATGAAGATTGTCGCTGACTTCTTGCACAAGGTCAGTCATGTCACCTCTTAATCATAATTCCTGCTCAACCTTTTGTGTTGTCTCAGCTCACATTATTCCAATATTGTAGATGACATCACCGACATGGTCAAAATCCTAAACTTCACCAATGATTAGTCGATACTAGTTCTAAAGGATCTATGTCTACCGAATGAATCAAAGGTCGCTAGGGGAACTGCTCACCTCATTGTAGGCTCCATCGTATCAACATATTCAAGATATTGTCACCTAACCACATTTTTCTCAATAGCATCGAGAGGTAGGCTTTCCTCATCATCAAACAATGACAATCACCGTGGTAACAGACGCCATGATGGCTACGGTCTCAAGCACCCTATGTGTCCAACAATAGACACCTACTACCCCACGATCAGTCCTGTCCCACTAGCATGTGGGTTTGCATCTCCTTATGGGCTAGAGATAGTAACATAGGTGTGTGGCTAGGTTAGAATGGAGGGCATGCTTGGTAGGCTACCAATTCAAGGGTACTTGGGTCACATCCTTAAGGCCCACACTATGTTCATGCATATGCTCATTTCTAGACCACAATCTCAACAATGAGATCAAACTTGGATGATTGCTGCCATCAATTGGTCGAATATGCAAGGGCCTAACTCTTGGGATCTCAACTCCGATAGTACATCCCAAATGTCATCTATGGAGATTTAGAATTTCATGTCTACCCACTTGATGAGAGTCTAACATAGGGGTATGTTAAGTACCCAGAAAAGGGATAGCGACTCATCGTACAAATCACTCGGGGGCTATACCCATTGGGTACGCTCGCGCATTTCCTCCGGTGGAGTCAAGATGAGCCCAAGCATCGGGTACGCCCATGCATACACTCCTAGGCAGCAACTAATGTCCCGAGCCATGGCCGGTCACTTTAGAACCTATCAGGACCAAGAGGCTTACAAGTACGGAGATGTTGCACCGTATACACCGTTCGAACAGCCTCGGACGTGCTATCGGCCACTCCTTGGTAGGGTCACGCAATGACATGATGCATACGCTGGACAAAGGAGCTCCCAGGCTCCAAGGGCGAGGGCTCCAGGATGACCGATCAGCCCCAATAGGCGGGGAGTCTCCTTGCGCACCAAGGGAGGCTCGAGAAGGCTCACTTGGGGGAGGCACAATGCAGTGAGCAACCCCTCAAGGTCAAGCACTAGATTGTGGCAACAACATCGTGGAGTGGTTGCGACATTGTCGGCCCCTTCTTAGATGATAAAGAAGCACCGCATTTACACTGAGATGAAGGACGAGCACCAGATATATAAGCCTTAGGCCAGAACCAAAATCGACTTGTAACTATAACCTCCCTAGGATATATGGGGTGGCATGGGCTCCTTAGAAGGGTATCGGATACTTGATCGCTCAACTGCACTTCGATAGCCAAGAACCCTAGGAATGCACCATGCAATCCCCTACCGCCTCTCTCGATTCCGCTATTGTAATCCCCTAATTGGGCATTTCTAAAATGAAGAACATCTTACTACTGGACATAGGGCTTAGAAGCCTGAACTAGGGTAAACTAATTTGTGTCCCTTCCATGTTTTGAGTGTCTGAGCCACCAGACCCTTCACATCGACCACCGACGAATAACCCCAATGCTTGTCGTGGTTCTAAACCCATGACCATTTCTGCTGCCAGTTTAGGGAGCGCGTCTTGTGTGACCATCGCTCTCACAAAGGCCTTTGCCACCCGCTTTGTCACTGGAGCTAGCTACACCAACCTAGAGGGTGGCGTATGCTTCTCTTGTGAAATCGCCATCACTGGCGGTTCTTTCACCCCTGACCAAGTTTTTAGATTTGGGAGCATGGACTACATCGCTGACCGCAGCGATGAGCTTCACCCTCTCAAGGAGACCTTGTCAGAGGACAATGAGTCCCCAGCGTCGTACCGTCCGCTGGGCCTCTTTGGAGCCGACTTGGAGGTTGGGGTCCAGTAGATTCGGCTAGGTTTAGGCCCAAACCCCACCATGTCGGAGTGCCGCTAGATGTTCTTCATGCTAACAAACATTCACAACCGGATCATCGCTGGAGAAGAGTTGTTGTCACCTCACTACTTCGGATACGTCCTTCGGGACATCCCTTATCGGATCCAGAGCACTACAATGTCGTTCCAGCTGAACTAGAGCATCTCATGAGCCAAGAGGCACCACACGGTGTTGTTCTCTCCGGTTGGAAGGTCCTAATATGGCTAGAGGGGGGTGAATAGCCTATTTATAAATCTACAAACCAACTTGAGCAATTTGATTAGTATGACAAATAGCGAAATGCAAACTTGCTCTAGCACTACAAGGGTTGCAAGCCACCTATCCAACAATTCTAGTTACTATGATCACTAAACACACCATTTACTAAGTCACTACTCACTAAGAGCTCTCACACTTGCTACACTAAAGAGCTCCACTAGATGAACTTAAGCTACAAAGTAAGGTCTCAATTCTAGCTACACTAAAGAGCTTACTACAACTAGTTTGCGGGTATGTAAATGAGTAAGTAAGGTGATTATACCACCGAGTAGAGGAGTGAATCAATTACAAGATGAATACTAACTCAATCACCCAGAGAATACCAAAAGACAAGAGACAACCAATTTTCTCTCGAGGTTCAGTGCTTGCCAACACGCTACGTCCCCGTTGTGTCGACCAACACTTGGTGGTTCGGAGGCTAAGAGGTGTTGCACAAACCTCGTCCACACAATTGGACACCGTAAGAACCTATCCACAAGTGAGGTAACTCAATGACACGAGCAATCCACTAGGGTTATCTTTCGATTGCTCCTCCGGGAAGGCACAAGTCCCCTCACAATCACGGGAGATAGCCACAAACAATCACCAACTCATGCCAATCCTTCTCTCTACTACATTAAGCCATCTTGGTGGTCGCAACCACCAAGAGCAACAGGCAAATCCGGCAGCGAAACACGAACACCAAGTGCCTTTAGATGCAATCACTCAAGCAATGCACTTGGATTCTCTTCCAATCTCACAAAGATGATGAATTAATGATGGAGATTGAAAGGATCAAGATGCCCAAGAGGAGGGTTGAATTGGGCTAATTCTAAAATTCTTTGCAATAATTAAACCCTACACTCAGCCCACTTCACCCCTTGTGCCTAGAATGTGTTTCTAATGTTCTATCGCACAAAAGTTTTGCAACCTAAGTTCCAATCCTACTCTAGCATGGCAATTCTATGAATGTAAAGACAAGAATCGAATTGCTCAAAGTAAATGCTTAAAGTAAAGAGAGAAGGAGGAACGCGGTGATGTTTTGCCGAGGTATCAGAGAGTCACCGCTCCCCACTAGT